GGGAAGAGGGAAAGAAAGAAAGACCTCAAAATTGAGGTCAACATTATGACTAGGCATAATTCCTCTTTATAGGTAGTCTGTTCTTATCGGTACATCCCATTTGTATGTGTCATGTTACATGTAACATCCTTGCACTCATTTGCATGATGTAGTTCGACCTTTTAGGCGCTCATTGTGATTGTTCCGTTTTTCGGTCAAGCAGTCACAATGTGGGCTTCTTGTTTGCTTGTTCATTTGTGTCGATGGCTTGTCCTATTCGTTAGTAGAGTGATTCGTTTGTTTGTCGTGATACTCAAACGAGCGTTGCCCAAAATTTTATATTAATATTTTCTTTTCAGGTCGGGTCTTATGTAGGCCGGCTGGATTTGTCTATTCCGGATCAGACTCTCAAAATTTTTTTCTTCTTCTTCGCCACCAAATGCGTCTGTTCTTAGCGGATTTAGGGTCTCTTTCTAGCAGCTGCAACTTATTGAATAATTTGCTGATAAGTAGTTGATCATGCTGATCAGGATAAATTGGCTAGCTATTTGATTTGTGTTGTTTGAAACCAACTGATTTGCAATTGTTTCTAAATAAATGCGCAGTAATGCTGTTTATACATATCATACAAAGTAAATTGTTGTTCAACGTCGTTATATTTATAAGTTTAACGGGAGATTCAAAAAGTATAATTTAAAAAAAAATAGATTGTGTTAAAAAATTATATCTAAAATTCAATGTTATTAAAAAAAAATGAAAGTATAAATTACAAGCTTTATTTTTCATTTTGTTAAGTTGTTAATTGATATAGTAGGAGGCCTTCTTACTCATCGTATCATTTAATTATAATTAATTTAATATTATAAAAAATAATTATTAATTATTAATGAATTAATTTAGTAGGTATTTATCCAATCACTTCCCCCTCTGCCCGAAAACCCTAGCATAAATTCTCCCCTCCCGGTTTCGCCTAAACCGTCGCTTCTCCCAACACCTCGAGATTGTCGGCGAACGAACCTTCACGATACCGTCGCCATTAGAGCTAACTGGGAAGGCAACCACGGGATCGCAACTTACATAGACCACCAAAACTCTCATCTTTCTCATCCTTCCGCTCCGCTCCTACTGGAAACCATTAAGGAAGAGGTAAGCATGTTCGCGCCATTTTTCCTCTTCACGGGATGTACCGAAACTCCCATTCTTCCTCTTCACGGCAAATTTATAAATCAGTTTTTGTGACATTTTTTTGCTTCTAACTCCCATCTTTCTCATCATTTCGCTCCCCTCCTATACAAATCAGAGAACTAATTTATCAATACAGTCGAATAATTTTGTGTAAAACTTTAAAGCTTCTTCTTTGCTCTTTTTGGAGGACGCAGGTTGAGAAGTTCTCTCTCTTTCTCTCTTTTGCTTGCGCGTCCGAACTTGGAGCTCACGAATAAGAGGGGCTCTTCTCATTGATCAAGGGGCAGCATGGTTAGTGATCCTTTTTCTTTTTTCTTGTTGTGGCATTTAGGGTTTTCACGTGATTGGTTTGCTCCCTGTACCTTTGTAAATACCTATTGTTCTTAGTCCACTGTTCTTGTTGATTTGTTAATTCCTGTAAAAGTTTCAGAAATTGACACCTTATTATGATTGGAATAAATATCGAAGCTTTACTTTTTTTTCCTAACAGGTTTCGGTGATTATCAAAGCTTGAGCCGCCTTTATATCTAGATAATTTCTGTTCTGCAAATTCTAAATCATTAGGACTTTTACTTATTTAACTTCTAAACCTTTATTTTTTATACATTTATACCACTAATTCTTTTATATCACATAAAAAATACTATTATTTTAACTTCTAAAATGTGAATAAGCTGGCAAATATTGGTTCAAACCACCCAATCAGGGAAGCCAATATTCATTCTTCAATGATCCCGATGAAATCTCCAAATGATGACACTTCTAGCTCCTACATGGTTGTTTCAAGGTTATATTCACCTTCTAGTTTGGTATGATGTAATTAATATGATTGACATTGACCTTAGGCTTCCGACGAAAATCCATTTGTGAAATTTGGATCATCTTTAACTACAGTCTTAATGCAATAGGTATAGATTTGGCCTTCTAATTGAAATATCCAACAACTCTAATATTGAGCCCAAAAAAATCTATCAATAAATCCATTGTCTTTGGGGATTATGATGTTTAAGATTGGTCTTAATGGTGATGTCCGCCATTCAATCAACTAGTGCACAATATACCCTTTACTGAGGAGAATTGTAGTCCCTCACAGATTTCAACATTGAGTTGATTTCTATATACACTATATAATTTTGCCACCCAATTCCTATGTTTTCGACATAATTATAGTCGAAAGCATCACAGACCCATGGGACCCACAAATTGCTTGAAAAACTCGACCATAGTCAAACCATCAACTATAATACTACTTTTAGGAAATAACCAAAGATGAATTTAAGTTGGGTTTGATACACATGCGATTAAACTCATTTTTGATATATCAAAACCAACATAGTTTCCAACTATTCAATTTGCAACTAAACCAATTCTCTTGCATGCATTAACACAACAAACTAGTCTTGTTATCGATCATGTAATGTTAAATGGCCTTTTGATGCTGACTTTAGCCTAATCATAGCTAACTTCAATTTTATCTAAATCATTACACAAAGTTTTGCAATATATATCTTCAACTAAATTATTATATGTAAATAAAAAGTGTCAATATTACATCTAGAGTCTATAAAAGTGTAAAAGTAGTTCCCAGTTTATATTTAATGGGGGCTAAAATAGTCCTCTATAAAGACTATATCAAGCAGACTCTGAGACTAAAAGGGACCCTTTCAAAGGAAACAACGGACCATTTCGACACTTTTCTCATATCCTAATAATCACAAAGCCACCATGAAATCATAACACAATTAGATATTCATTAGTTGACGGTTTCCCCATATGAAAACAGCTTCTCTAGAATGATCTTTCATATATCTGACAAGAGTAATGCTGTACTCCCCACACAAATCCACACATGAAATCTCAATTTCTTAATTCTTGTGCGTTGGTGATGTGGCTGTTCATATGGTTCATATTAAAATATAGAAGTATTCCATCCATGCAAACAAACTAGTGTTTTTATCGATCATGTATTATTAAATAGCCTTCTGATGCTGAATTTAGCCTAATCATAGCTAACTTTAATTTTATCTAAATCATTACACAAAGTTTTGCAATATATATCTTCAACTAAATTATTACGTTGTAAATAAAAAGTGTCAATATTACTCCTAGAGTCTATAAAATTGTAAAAGTAGTTCCCAGATTACTTTTAATGGGGGCTAAAATAGTCCTCTATAAAGACTATATCAAGCAGACTCTGAGACTAAAAGGGACCCTTTCAAAGGGGACAACGGACCATTTCGACACTTTTCTCGTATCCTAATAATCACAAAGCCACCATGAAATCATAACACAATTAGATATTCATTAGTTGACGGTTTCCCCATATGAAAACAGCTTCTCTAGAATGATCTTTCATATATCTGATAAGAGTAATGCTGTACTCCCCACACAAATCCACACATGAAATCTCAATTTCTTAATTCTTGTGCGTTGGTGATGTGGCTGTTCATATGGTTCATATTAAAATATAGAAGTATTCCATCCATGCAAATGTGATGCATAAGAAATGTAGAAACCTGCTTTAGGTGTGGATTTATCTAGGGAGTGAAGCATATTCACCTGACAATTTCAATTGTCCAATATCAAAGGCCCCATATATCCATTATGTTTGTATATTAGTTCAGTAATCCATTACATCCGTTTGGCTTATATAATTGCATTGGAGGTCACTAAAAGGTTAAATGATTTGAATGCAAATGCCTAAAAAGTATAAGAAGATTTACATCCATTCCACTCGATTCTTATTTATTTACATATCTAACACCTATACTTCAATTTTTACATGTATGCCACCTTGCTTATTCATGAAAAACGTTTATTTCAATTTTTAAAAGCTAAATAGTGGTATTTTTGGTGTGATATGAATGATTTGATTGGAATATATGTAAAAAAGCATAGTTTAGGTGTTAGATATATAAATACATAAGAACCGAGTGGTATGTATTTAAATGCCCGTGCTCCAAAAATATAGGAAGCTAATTTTTTACGCAAATCACAAGGTAGAAAAAAGTAATGTAGCTATCTTGACCTAGACATCTTTGAAGTGTAAAACTGTAGATAAGTTTAGGTAAATTGTGGTATTTTTGATGTGATATGAAAGATTTGGGTGCATAAATGTAAGAGAGTAAAAGTTTGTGTGGTAGATATGTAAATACATAAGATTTGTTCTGTATGTGTGGTAGATAACTTTTCATATTGGTTGAGCAGTTTTTTTGGTGTCTCCTGTTGAAAGCTTGCCAAGCTAAATATGTTTACGATTAAGAGACACTTTGCATAGTTTGCTTTGTGGTTTTGAACGTCTTGTTGGTGTATGGCATTTGTGCCTCCCATTTTTTTTTCTCATTAATGTAAATTGTGGCTATTGCTAATTTCATTATTGGTATATATGCCACCTTACCTATGTAAGAAAACGTTTATTTCACTTTTTAAAAGGTAAATTGTGGTATTTTTGATGTGATATGAAAGAGTTGGGTGCATAAATGTAAAAGTGTGAAGTTTGGGTGGTAGATATGTAAGTACATAAGATTTGTGCTGTATGTATGTTAATGCCCCTAACTTTTAATATTGGTTGAGCAGTTCTTTGGGTGTATCCTTTTGAAAGCTTGTCAAGCTAGATATGCTTATGATTAAGAGACACTTCGCTTCGTTTGCTTTGCAGTTTTAAATCGTCTTGTTGGTGTATGGCATTTGTGCCTCCCATTTTTTTTCTCGTTAATGTCAATTGTAGCTATTGTTAATTTTTTTTCTTATTCATTGTTGATTAGGCTGCAAAGCTTATTGCTAATTTGCTTATAATGGGCTCTGGAATTTTAGGAAGGGCCGTCTTCCAAGCATATCGTAAAGCACTTGAAAGTGAGTTGCTTGTTCTCTTTTTCATTTATTGCATTTCATATTGATTCAATTTAGTAGATTTCACTTGTTATGTGATTAGTTAACCTTTTAAATAAAATAAACAAATAAATAAACGTTAGCCATTGAAATGCTTTGAGATAAAATTCTATAATTTACAGCTAACTATGTCCTTATTTGGATGATTTCCATGCATACCAATCAATTCTTATCTATTTACGTATCTAACACCTAAAGTCTAACTTTTACATATTTGCCACGTTTCTTATGCATGAAATGGTCTATTTCACTTTTTAATTGTTAAATTTGTGGTACTTTTGTTGTGATATGAAAGATTTGGATGTATTAAAAATATAAGAATGAAAGTTTAGGTGTTAGATATGTAAATACATAAGAAATTGGGTGGTATGTATGTAAATGCCCCTTCTTATTTTGGCTCAAAGCTTATATCGTATTCTTTTTCCTTGCAAAAGATATGTTTTTTTCTCCATCAAATTAGTTTGTTAGTCTGGTCTTCATGCAGCTCTGAGAACTTTGAACGGGATTTGAACTTGGGGAAAACATTGGGTGATCTTTGCTTGATAAAGTATTTGCAGGAATTGTTTGATCAATATTTTAATTACTAGTGAAAAAACAATACAATTTTTTTTTGAAGGAATTTAGCAATGCCTCAAAAAGCTCTTTTTCGGTGAATTTTGCATTAGCTCAGATCGAACAATTTAGGGCAACACAGTCTTGTTATTGAAAAAATATTCCGTCCGGACGTCTGGACGACCAACCATCGACTGCCACGTCGCCTGCCGATAAGTTGTATGACGATGTGAAGCCCAGTAGTTGGCCGTTCGGACGTGCGGTGTTTGGATGAAATATTTTCTCGTTATCACCTACCCCTCATCTATCATCACTGCTGCGATCGCGACATTTTTCCATCTCACAGGTAGTTTCCTAAATTTATTTTGCTAACGAACAACTTATATAAGTATTTCAAATACACATTATTTAACCTTTTTGTTCTGTATATCATATTCAATATAATATTTTTTTTCTTAATGGTTAGCTACATTTGTGTTTACTTTTTTATTTTAGCTGTTTCGAAACTCAGTATGAATTTAGATTTTGTTATGAGCGCACAAATAATGTTGAATTTGAAAGTTACATTCTTTATGCATCAATTATTATTATTTTTTTTTCAATGATTCTTTATGTTAACTTTAAAGACTGCATTTCATGCATTAGTTTGCCACTATATAATAGTTTATAGGTATATTTACATACATACCGCCGTCCAATACTTAAGGTTCTATTTAGAATCACTTTCTTTCTTTATTTATTTATTTATTTTTATAACAAAAAAATAGAAAGCAAACCAAAAGATAGTTTTTTTATTCGTTTTTTGTTTTTTTTAATTTTTAAAACATCTTAGACTTGTTTTCAAAACATTAAAAACACAAATTGTGTTTTTGTTGTTTTAAAAATATATTTTTCGGAGCATTACCTGTGCGAGGCTCCGACGCTCGTCGCTCGCCACTGGCCGCCGCCTGCGGTCATTAGTTATCTCCTCCTGGCCATCACTGGCCGCTAATCCCCGCCATCGTCCGTTGCTCCCCGCCTATCCGCTGCCTGCCACTCGCCCGCTTATAGGTAATGCATCATGTTGAGTAGAGAACGAAAGATGTCGCATAAGCCATGGGCGTCAGAGCTTAATAATGAGTGCACGTAGACCCAACCGTTTTATAAAAAGCATAATTTTTTTTAAAAAAAATAAAAAATACTCAACAAAACTTGTTTTATATTTTTTATTTTTAAAGAAATATAAATCATAATAGTACCAAACGTGTTTTCTAAACACAAAATAGAAAAAATAGAAAAAAAAAAAAAAAAAAAAAAAAAAAAAAAAAAAAAAAAAAA